ACGACAAAATGCTAACCTTAATAAATTGTCTACATGAAGATGATACGTTTTTGACAGCTGCTATCTGTTCTGACGTGAGGTCATAGGTGATATTAACTTGGAATGTGGCGTGCTCCTCGGCGTTGTTCACATTTCCATCTTCCTCCTTATCGTGATGAATTGTTGAATAACCTTGAATTAAAAGATTATTTTATTATAAAGGCTCTTTAATCAAATGGCAAGATGGATAAAAAGGAACACTTTAAAAATTTCTAGCGTTTAGTTCTTTTTATATTCTATTATTTTAATATAGGCATAACCCAAGAAAAAACAAGAATGAAGGAATTTCATGTAGCGTTTCTATGGAAACCAGGCTTTAGACATTGATATTATAGTATCAAGGTGCACTTATATTCATGAGCGTTTCTCACTTATCATGACTAAAAATAAAAAAGTATCGGTCTACCATCAGCCTGGTGTGTCTAGACATTGGCACATCAGATCTAATATATTTTATCTACTATCTATCCATATATTTTCTATCAACTGAATTTCATGTAGCGTTTCTATGGAAACCAGGCTTTAGACATTGATATTATAGTATCAAGGTGCACTTGTATTCATGAGCGTTTCTCACTTATCATGACTAAAAATAAAAAAGTATCGGTCTACCATCAGCCTGGTGTGTCTAGCTGTACTTTAAAATTTCTAAGTAATTGCTGCGAAGCAGCCAATTCATATTATTGGCAGCAATTTGACCTCTGAAAGGTCATTTTTTGTCAAAAAACGAGTGCCTAAGACGACTGAAAAGCGGAGTTTCCCTCTTTCGTTCTGCCGGGTAAAATCAATTACTTTAGGCGACGTTTGTAGACTAACCTACTCGTACCAACGTCCGCATGTCGCGCTAGCCTTATCCTACTCTAGGCCTAGACTTAGGATGGTATAGGCCTAGCCTTGAAGGGACGAAGGTCCCAATGAAAAACAACGTCGCTCTTTGATAGCTAACATTGTCTATTTAACATCACAATAATTCATTATTAGACCAAAGACCTATAGTTGTTTTTTGAATTGTACTCCACAAATCTTAGCCGATACCTCGCACAACTGGCTAACGTATCTATCTATTGTCGTGACGTCATGCAGTCTTCAAAATAAAAATTGTAACCTTTGGTAATCAACTACATTTTCCACATACATAGACATTTTTGAAACTTTATTAAAAAAAAACCTAAACCATAATTCACCACACTATAGACACTTTTTGACAAAAATGAAAAATTACGACTTTGTTACCCAATGAGAGGTGTACTAATATAGACAATGGGTCGTGTCTCATATTATTTGTTATAGTTTTATTATTCATTATTTTCACTTGACTCGCATAAATAATTTTGTTCGAAGAACATTTATATGCAGTTCTACTTCGCAGCACTTCACTTGCAATTTGCAATTTCTAGTATTGTATGGTAAATTGATATAAACTTGTTCTTTGTCGACTAAGTTCAAACTAAGTTCACAAAACGTAAGAATCAACGTACCCATTTTCAAATCTGATGTCATATCACATACAACCGAGAATGGATCCAATCCAGTATTCGGACCATCGGGATCAATCGTATAAACACCATTAAAATTAACACCAGCCTTTTTGAGAGCATCTGTACTCCCTGTTCACCTACAAGAGGAGAATAATTAATAGTGTATATGATAAGGCTGCATTAGAACTTGCATGTTGTAGGTAGGTTTCATTAAACAATGTAGTAAAGTGCATGTATCGCATGATACAAGGCCTCTGTCAAATACGCTCTTATTTGATAGGCTACAAGTTCCAGTGTAGTGTGTATCCCTTAAAGATATTGTTATAGAAAATGAAGTGTTTCAATTAAGCTACCCACTCCACTCCCAAAAGCCTCATAACGTAGCCGGGGATAAATTATCAAAGACGAAATGTCCCAGTGGCGCTTTCAAATTAATACAAATTAATATAAGAATCCTGAGATTTTAATATATTACGTAGATTTTAATAAATCATGTGGTTTTGCTAGAAATTAATATTTCAACATTCTAAATTATTGGTAAAAAATTGATATAGATTTTCACCATACCTGTCTTTCCAATAGGTCCCCTTTCACCTGCAATGATTAAAGTTTAACAACCGTCATATTTATAATATCTATTTATAATAATAGTAAATAATGAATTGTTTCAAATGATGCTATCCACCCCAAGCCTCATAAAGCATCGGGGGCTAAATTTACCAAAGATTTCGGACAAATCTACAACGAAACACACGTAGTCAAGTTGGTTATGGCGTCTTCAAAATAATATACAAAACTGTAAATTTTAAACTATCCTGGTTATGGAGATTTAGCTCAAAAATATATTTTAACAATCTAAATTATTGATACAAAAAAGACATAAATTATCACCGTACCTTTCATTCCAATCGGCCCCCTTTCACCTGTAATAATTAAAATTTAATCATTAGGGTAAATTGTATATTTTGTATTTATATTTCAAATAATAATGAATATAACAATTATTAATGCTTCGTTTGATTTTGTCATATTACACATAAATATGGGCATATCACATTTATTTTTCACATAATGTGTAATGTGGGCAGACCTGAAGTCACAGGGGCGGATCCAGAGATTTTCTGACGGGGGGGGGGGGGGGGGTCACAATATGAAGTTCACGCCGCCACGCCCATCTCAGCCCATAGATAAGGGGTAAATAATCGAGCTCTCCTTTCGCCCACTGCTATATTTCCACTGAACCCATGTGTGCACTCCTTTTTTTTTGCTCTTTCCTGTATTCTCAAATTTGTCACCCTTTTTTATGTTTCGGCTTGATTGAGGGAGGGAGCACGGGCCCTCATCCCCTCCCCTCCCCCCGCTGGATCTGCAACGGAATCAAATCAAACTTACACTGAATTTCACAGCTAGGCTTATCATCTGTCAGCGACGATGCTTCAGGTTTGCTTGTCTCGTGACCTAGCGTCTGGAAATCAGAATGTGTTAAATTTCTTTTTAAAGTATATCATTTTTAACTAGGCCATTGATCCAATCTAGATTCATGTGCATACAGAATGACTGCCTAATATTGATAAGCAAGTGCCCTTTAAGATAGCCATACTCCAAGTATCGAAATGCACGCCATTGTGCCGGGATTCAATATTTTGACATAATTAATGTCGAAATATTGAATCCCGACACGATGGCGTGCATTTCGATACTTGGAGTATGTATTATACTATCTTTAAATTTGAGATTAATCAGTGGACCATTCAAGTGCCCTTTATTGTCAAAAATGTTTATGAAAAAAAAAAGAAGATAGTATGTAATTTAATATAGTAATATTGGGGCATGGGGAAAATTAATTAGATTTTATTTGCACAACGTAGGTCTATCATCACGATTGAACAAAACTCAACGTTCTCGCATGCGCAGATATGACTTCTTAAGTGACGTCATTACGTTTTATGTCCTACTGCGCAGTGCAATCGAGAGCTTCTTATTATCTCCTTCCGACGAATTTAATGGGAAAATAAAATGGACCTGTTTGTATTCCTACCGGAAGTCCTTTCAGCTTGTTATCGATTTGTTGGATCAGCTTGATGTCGATTTGCTGGAACTTGAAAATTACAGACGAACACAACAAAAGCAGTCCAACAACAACAATGAAGTTGAAAATTGACTGCAGGGAGATACCACAACATAATCTCTGAGTTTTCTTCTGGTTGCCTTCCTCTAAAATCATTTCGTCCATATCTATAAATGGAACATAACAAGTTAATTCACATCATATAAGGAGGAGGTGGAGAAGAAGAAACATTATAGCCTAGACACTAAACACTATTCCAGACAATAACAAGCTATACACAGCCGTGGATCTAAATAAATTATATATTTTTAAAAAGCCGTTTCTGTCAAATTATATATTTATACCTACCGTCAGTAGCGCATATCTAGCGGGGTGCCTGAGCAGCAAGGAAGGAGGAGGGGGAGAAAAACTCGCCTTCAGTGACCCCGTCCATACGACATGTTCGATGCAAAACAAATTACGCTAAATAATTCACCTACACCATATTTTGTTACAATGAGGCTTGATCTGCCATATTAACGTGATATTCTACACTTCAAAAGGTTGGGCAGCACTACCTTGCGGGTGTTCGTTTTGTCTCAAGGCATTATAATAAAATGAAATTGAAAGAAGTTTCTGAATATTCAGAAGCCTTTAAGTGGAGTTGGTTGGATTAACCCATAATACTTTAAGGCACAGCTACCGCCACCCCAGTCTGCCCCAAACGGTCTGCTTGGGCAAACATTCTTTGATCTTTCCCCCATCTTTTCTAATTAGCGACCCAGGCATGGGCAGGGCAGCCAGTGCGAAGCATTGGGCCCGGGGTTAACATGCTTAATAGGCATAAGAATTGTAATTAAATAGGGCCTATAAATGTTTCCTACTTAATTTTTAAAAAGAAAAACAAACAGCTAGCGACTGCTGCTGTGGTTGCACCGGCCCTCTTTCTTGTTTGTTATTTTTGTTCATCTTTTCCATACATATTCCTATTTTCAAGTTTATTTGGAGAAAGAAAAAAAAAGAACTTTACCTGAAGTGGTTAAAAAGATCACTCGAAGATGATTTGATGCTTAGGCTACTTCAATGCAATCTCAATGAGCGCTAGTTTCCAAAAGACTTATATTGCATTTATGCGTTTGAGGTAGGTGAGGACGTTTCTGGCTGGTACCTACGGAAACACTCGTATCTTTTCACTTCCTTATTGAGTGTTACAATTAACATTAGTTGAAATGGGTGACCTGGAATAAGGCTTATCCCAACACCACTATAGTTATTCTAAAAATAACAATGTTCCTGTACAGTAGGCCTAATACCTAAAACGAATAGGCCCTATCCTACAAATTCATTGCCGTTAAATCTAAATTTCCACTCATATCGTCAAAACATTTTGTAGCCATAGAACAACTTTTTGATAAGCAGGCATGAAAATGTCATCCTTTTAATTAGGAAAGACTTTTGTTAAATGTATTGACAGCAGCGCGGGAACAATTTTTATGTACACTATGCAATGATATTTCTAAATTTTGAATATTCTAATTGTGTGTACTATGTACTGTATTTTCATTATATTTTTTATATAATCGATATCATGTTTTTTCCGTCCCTTTTTGTAATGTTTTTATATGCAACATAGGCCTATCTTTAAAATGTTTAAAATTTTCAGTTTAATTTGTTTTACTGGCCTATCTGTTAATACTTTCTGATAATGTTTGAAATAAAATAAAATAAGGGGGACACTCACTACGTCGGTCGTACGACGAATCCAACTCATCTCCCTGTGAGTGCTACACGACGCGACGCCGCCGTCTGCTGATTTTCGGTGGCACTCTGAACGGATCGTCATTAACAACGATCCGTCGCACGCGCGTCGGCGTTGGGCTCTTGACGTGCAGTGGGTACCCGGCTTAACTTGTTTTATAAGGTTATACTTTAATGGATGTAATATAAGTTGTATCAAAATAACATGAAAAGAACAAGAGTGCTACAATTTTTTAAAGTTTTCTCATTTACTGCTTACAAAATAAACTAAGTAAGATCAAGGTAAAAACCGTTAGAACATTAATGTTAGTCATTTTTAAGCAAGGGTGGTGCCAGGATTTGCCAAACGAGGGTGGGGATCTAAGTCTCTGAAAGGGTAGGGGTGACGTCCCAGACGAGAGTGAAGTGGGCGTTTGTCGGGCGTCGTTCAACATTTTTGGAAGTGGTGAGCTTTACGAAACTATGGCAATTTAGGGATTTGAAAGGTGTAATCAATTTTAGAGTTCCATAATAATATCTAATAAATACGTTTAATTTTATTCTCCCTAAAGAGTTGTGGTTATTCTCTCCGACGGGGGACGCGGGATCCCCGCCCCCATTGCTACAGTACATGACCAGTTTAATGTTTTATGATCAATCACAACTGCCTATAAATATTATTTTACAATTAAGCTATATATAACTAAAATTAACGATATTTAAACAAGGATTTTAAAATTGGCATAAATTGACAATTAGAAGTTCATTCTTAAACATTATTTATTTATTTATTTTCATTATTTTATTTATATATTTATTTTATTCTATTTTATTTATTTTATTTATTGGGGCTGAGGGGGATAGTTAAGAAAGGGGCCAAGCTCGATTAGACTTGTCTATTTCTTGGCTCCTATTGTATACCAGTTGTTTGTTTTTTGCGTATACAATAAAGAAAGAAAGTAAAGTAAAGTAAAATGTACTGGTGTTTACAAGACTTCTGTAATACCATAAAACCTCGAATTGAAACCCTGGGTTTTTACTTTTTTTAAATTATTTATTTAATTTGTTTTTTTTTTTAACCTTTGGATGCACTTCTTTTCAAGTCTACTTTTCAAAGTAAAGAGGGGGCTTCTCAGGGGCGGATCCAAAAATGTCCAAAAGGGGGAGGGGCGGAAGAGGGACCGAAAGTTAGGCCGATTGAGACAAAAATGTCGTAGGGGGGTCCAAGGGGCATGCCCCCACGAATTGTTTGTATTCTAGACGCCTAAACATAACATTTAAGGCATTCTTTTCCTCCCTTTTTTTTTTCTTTATTTACTTCCCAAAAGGGGGGGGGGGGCCCCGGGCCCCCCC